CAGATTACTGAGAGCATTGTTCAAATGCCTCGTAAAATCTGACAGGCATGGGGCATCGACCACCTCTCCAGCAAGCCTGTTCCAGTGTCTGATGGACCTCTCAGTAAATAAATGCCTCCTAATGTCCAGTCTGGACCTCCCTGGTGCAGCTTTGAGCCATCACCATGCGTCCTATCACTGGACCCCAGGGAGAAGGGATCAGCACCTCCCTCTCCACATCCTCTCCTCAGGAAGCTGCAGAGGGCAATGAGGTCACCCCTCAACCTCCTTTTCTTCAAACGAGGCAAGCCCAGAGTGCTCAGACACTTCTCAGAGGCCATGAATTCCAACCCTGTCACCATCTGAGTTGCCCTCTTCCAGCTGCATCTGAGGATGTTCACATCCTTCTCAGATGGTGGGGTCCAGCACTGCACACAGTATCCCAAGTGAGGCCACACCAGTGCTGGATAGAGCAGGATAATCCCCTCTCCTGACCAGTGGTTCTACTGTGTTTGATGCATCTCAGGATGGGGTTTGTCTGCTTGGCTGTCAGGGCACACTGCTGACTCTTGAGCCTCCTACCGACATGCACCCTCAGATCCCTTTCTGCAGGGCTGCTCTCCAGCCACACTCCTCTCCCCATTTAGGCTTGTGCCCGGCCTACTCCCTGCCTGGTGCAGAATCTGGCACTTGGACTGGTTCAACTTCATAGAATCACAGAATGGTTTGGGTTGGAAGGGACCTTAAAGATCATCCAGTTCCAACCCCCCTGCCATGGGCAGGGACACCTTCCACTAGACCAGGTTGCTCAAAGCCTCATCCAGCCTGGCCTGGGACACTTCCAGGGATGGGGCATCCACAGCTTCTCTGGGCAACCTGTCCCAGTGCCTCCCCACTCTCTCCGGGAAGAACTTCATGCCACTGATGATTGCCCAATGCTCCAATCAATCTAGATTCCTTTGTGAGGCCTCTTGTCCCTGAAGAGAGTCAATAGCACCTCCCAGTTTGGTCTCATCAGCAGACCTGCTAATGGTGAATTCAACTTCTGCATCCAGATGGTTGATAAATATAATGAAGAGCACTGGCCCTAGGAGTGAGCCCTGAGGAACACCGCTGCTGACTGGTTGCTGGCCATATGGAGCCCCTGTTGGTGCCACCCTTTGAGCTCTTCCCTGCAGCTGGTTCTTGACCCAGTGCCCTGTCAAGCTGCTCAACCCGCAGTTGGACAACTGCTCCAAAGGGATGCTCTGAGGGACAGTTGCAAGAGCCTTACAAAATCCAGGAGACTACAGCCACCACCTTCCCTTCTCCACTGGCTGTGTGACCTCATCCTGGAGGGGTATCAAATTGGTGAAGCAGGACTTTCCCTTGGTGAGCTCATCTTGATTGTGCCTGATGATTGCATTGTTCTTTAAATGCCTTTCATTTATATATGTATAATCCCCATAATTTTTCCAGGTTAGACTCACAGGTCTGTAATTTCATGGTCTTCCCTCATGCTGTCTTGGTAGATTGGAATAACACTGGCTAGCTTCCAGTCAGCAAGGGTGCGGTGCAACTTTGTACAGTGGAACAGGTTATCACCTAAGGCAATAATTTCTAAAAGCAGGACGACCAAAGATGGTTTCGAAACCCCAGAACTCTTTCTTACTCCCAAGCCACTCACGCTGTATCAAACAACCCAGCACATCTTGGGAAGATGAAGTGCTACCTTACTTTGACATGCAAAGCTCAAGTCTCTAGTGAGGTGAAAACAGTCACACTGCTGGCCCTGAAATCACCCATCAGGGCTTGCTACACACAAACCAGGCTTCTCATTTGCCATGGTGAGCTGAGTAGACCCACATTAAACCAGAAACACAGACTCACCTCTCCTCCAAACCCTGCCTTTCTTAAAACTGGGCCATACCACAGCAACATCACAAAATCCTGTACAGGGAAGTATAAACACGCATATAAAAGGACTCACCTGCTCTTTTCTCCAGATGTCTCCCCATCCACATGCACTGGAAAATGTATTTTTGTACAAACAAAATGAAATTTCTATTTTGAAATGGGCAAGTTCAGGATTAGTCATTGAATCCCATGTTCCACTATATGCTCAGCAGCCTTCTCAGAGCAAAAGCTATGGTGCA